GTTTTTTAATCCACTCAGCCAGTCTCTGCCTTTTTACTAGAGAGTTGAGGCCATTTACATTCAAGTTGACCATTGATAAGTAATGACTTGGCCCTGCCATTTCCCCATAAACATTCCTATTGTTTACTTTGGATTTCCTTTGTGCTTTTACTGGGAGATTTTCCACCCTCATCTTCTTTCATAGTGATGACCATGTTTCTGTGTGTAGTGCATCCTTAAGTACCTTTTGTAATGCTGGACGAGTACTGGCAAACTCAATCTCTGTTGTGGAAGGTCTTTATTTCACCTTCATTTGTAAATGAGAGTTTTGCAGAGTCCAGTATTCCAGGTTGACAGTTTTTTTCTCTTAGGACTTGGAATGTATCTCATTTCTGATGAGAATTCAGCTGTGAGTCTAATTGGAGAGCCTCTGAAAGTAACCTGGCAATTCTCTCATGCACATTTTAGAATCTTTTATGCTTTACTGTGGAGAGTTTGACTACAACGTTTTGTGGCGAAGATCTTTTCTGATCGTGTCTATTAGGAGTTCTAAGTGCTTCCTTTTTGGACATCCCTTTCTTTATGTAATTATTTCACTAAAATGGCCTGCTCATCCATTCCATCTTTCCACCCTTTCAGGAACTCCTAAGACCTGTATGTTGGGTCATTTGTTAGTATCCCATAAATTCCAATGGTGTTTTTCAGTTTTCCAATTTCTCCCCCCCCCCCCTTTTTTTTGTCCGTAAAATTTTCAAAGGTTTGTTTTCTAACTTGGATATTCTCTCTTCTGCCTTACCAAGTCTGTTCTTATGGCTATCCATAGTACTTTTATTGGTTCTACTGAATCCTTCATTTCCAATAATTCCTTTTCACTTCTCTGTAAAATCTCAGTTTCATGGGAAAAAGTTTCACTCATGCCATGTACAGGTTTCTTTAGTTAATGAATTTGCTTCTGATTACTTCTAGGTAATCCTGTGATTAGTTTTTTAATTCCATTTCTGGTGTTTTGTCAGTCTCTTCATCTTCACATTCTGGTATTGAAGTGTTGTGTTCTTTTGGGGCTGTCATGTTGTCCTTATCCTTGTTTCTTGAATTTCTGCAATTATTATTAGGTATTTGTGGTGATAGTTGTTGGGTTTGTTTATTTGTTTTGGCCCTGTGATGGCTTTTATCTTTGAACTTTGCCTCTGCTGTTTCAGTAATAACCCGAGCGTGTGCTAGGTGTGGTCAGGGAGCTCCGTTCAGTGCTCTGGGGTGAGGGATGTGTCCAAGGTGACACCCAAGTTAGGTGTGGTAAATTTTTTTTTCTTTATCAGGGGAAGTTTGTTCAGCTATGTTGGTATATTCTCATGCTCCTCTCCTCTCAAAGGAGACCAGTGCCTTGGCAATAGCCCCAGTGGGTACAGTTCTCATCCATGCTGCCACGAGAAAAACTCAAAGTATCCCTGCAGTCCTCGGGGTGGACATGGATCCTGTAGCAGCGACTCTCACCAGGGAATCAGGGACCTCCAGCATGTGGAGCCGCCACAGTGACTGCCCAGAGACCCAGCCACACCCTGCGCCCTCCGATGCAGCCCGTGTTTTCACAGTCATAGACACGAGGCTCTCACAGTCACGGGCACCCAGCCCCCTGTCAGTTATCCCACCCAGACTCGGGCGTTTCTTCTTGGCTGGTTGCTGGGCACATGGACCCCAGTGGGCCCAGCTGTTATGTGTGTCCAAAATGCTGCCTGCCCTCTCAGCTTGTTATAGGACAGGACACTGGTGCCGGCGGGTCAGGGAGAAACAGAAACCCTCTTTTTTTCCCTCTAGGCTGGCAGGTTCACTGTCCCCCCTCCAGGCTCCAATCCAGACTCAAACGAGACTCTTCCCACAGCCTTCTTGCCAGTGGCTTGGCCTGCAGCAGTCTGGTGTCTCCTCACTCCAAAGCTGGTGCTGAGGCTCTTGGTCGCTGGGGTCCTGAGTTGTGTGCATCCACACCCTCCACGTAGATCCACAGTGTCCCTCTAATGGTTTCTTCTGCCTTTTTCTCCCTAACTGTGCCCTGAGGTTGCAGCCTCTCACCTTTATTTTTCTTAACCATCTTCATCTAGACTAGAGCAGTAAGCTGCCTTCCTATTCTGCCCTCTTGAAAACACTATCAGCATTTATGTTGTATAACTGTATGACAATCCATCTCCAGAATTTTCTCATCTATCCTAACTGAAACCCTGTACCAATTGAACAATTCCCCCTTCTCCCTTTGTCCCAGCCCTTGGCAACTCCCATTCTACTTTCTTTCTCTATGAATTGGACTACTTTAACACCTGTTATAAGAGGTATCATAGAATATTTGCCCTTTTGTAGCCAGTATATTTGATGTAATGTCTTAAAGGTTCATCCCTCCTGTAACATATGTCAGCATTTCCTTTTTATTGCTGAATAATATTCCATCATATGTATGTACCACATTTATCCATTCGTCTGTTGATGGATGTTGGTTTGCTTCCACCTGTTGACTATTGTGAATAATGCTGTAATTTACATGGTTGCACAATTTCTCTCTTCCTGAACCTGCTTTCACTTCTTTAGGAACATAGCCAGAAGTGGAGTGGCTGGTTCATACAGGAGTGCTGTGTTTGTATTCAGAACATGCTGTGCTGTCTTGTGCAGCGACTGCAGCATTTCAAATTCCCACCAGCAGTGCACAGGGTCCCAACTGCTGCTCATCCTCACCTACACTTACTTTGTTTTTTATACTAAGAGATACAACATAATAGCTTAATGTGGTTTTGATTTGCGCTTCCTAAATGACTAGTAGTTATTAGGCATCTTCTTAATGTTCCTATTGGTCAGTGAACATCCTTTTTGAATAACTGTCTATTCAAACTCTGCCTGTTTTTCAATTGGGTTTTATTAAGTTGTAAACATTCAGTTGGAATGGTTCCACTTGGAGATTTGGGATTTGTCTGTTGTTTTGTTGTTATTCACAGCAGCAGGGTAAATAACTCCTTTCCTGGTGAAGAGAGTAGAGAGTCCATTGCTAGTTTCACTCTTGTGCAGCTGATCAGTAACGGTGCCTGTGCCAGCCCTGGGGCTCAGGCACTGTCAGCTTCCTTGGAGTCAGAGGCTGCAGGCTCACTGCTGTCCCCCTGGGCCAAGTGCTCCCTGCCACGGGGGCGGGGACTGGCGCTCTGCCTGTGACTCCGCTAAGCACCTGCGTCTCCGCTGCTGTCCGAGTCACTGTCACTGCACCACAGGCTCATCGTCCTCGTCAGAGTCGGCATCATCCTCTAGATCGGCATCGCAGCCAGAGATCATCTGCTTGTCCCAGGAGGCCTGGACCCTCCTGCTCGCCACTGCCACTCTTGTCACTCGCCTCGTCCCTGTCACCCCTCTCCTGTTCACTCTCGCTGCCCGAGCATGCGTCTTCACTGCCGCTGCCCTTCTCACCCTCATCTGTCAGGGAGCAGAGAGGTGCGAGTCACAGTTCCTGGGGCCCCAGCGCTGGCCTGACCTGCCTGACCTGAGCCCCCAGCCTCGTTCTCTTCTGCCTCCATCTCTCCTCTTTCCCCTCCTCGGGTTCCTGGTTTTCCGCCTGGGCTTTGCATGCCTGCTGGAAGCAGCAAAACTGGAGGGGGCGGGGGAAGGCAAGTGCTGTATTAGGCTCTGTCCTTCCCCTCACCTACCATTCTCCCGTGGCCGGCAGAGCCTTGCTACCTGGGCTTCCAGCTCCCTCTTAGTCACACCCCGTGTTTGAGGACCACAGGCAGGGCCTTGGTGCCTGACTGCACCCCAGCCTTGCAGCACTTCCCGAGGCAGACCCTGGAGTGGGCGTGAGATGGGGGCGTGGAGGAATGTTGCCCTCCTCAGTGAGGACGCAAGTCGGACGAGGTTCCCTTTCCGTGTGTGGCCCAGCACAGACCAGAATAAACACGTATTGTAGAAGGGAGACTATCTCAAGGGATTGGGGGAGGGGTGGGGAAGATGGTCAGTTTGTCTTGCCCCATGCTATGTCTGTCTGTCTACATATTTGTACACATACACACATATCTTCAGAAGGTAGTGGGAAACAAAAGATTAACTTGGTACAAAAAATTGAAATATGTACATAATTTTTTAAAAGATTTTATCTATTTGAAAGTCAGGGTTACACAGAGGAGAGGCACAGAGAGAGGTCTTCCATCTGGTGGTTCACTCCTCAGATGGCTGTGACGGACAGAGCTGCTCCGATCCAAAGCCAGGAGCCAGGAGCTGCTTCTGCATCTCTCACACAGGTGCAGGGGCCCAAGGACTTGGGCCATCTTCCAGTGCTTTCCCAGGCCATAGCACAGAGCTGGTCGAAAGTGGAGCAGCCGGGTCTTGAACCGGCGCCCATAAGGGATGCCGGTGTGTCAGGCCAGGACATTAACCCGCTGTGCAACAGTGCTGTCCCCTGTACATATTTTATAAATTTTTTTCTGTGAGCTTTCTGAATATTCTGCTTATGCATAGATTTTTTTTTTTTGCTCCAAAATAAACATTTTTATCCTCCCCCCCAAGAAATAACTTGTGCAATTGACAGTTCATTATTTAAGCACCTGTATGTCTGGAAAATTTTGCTTGCATTTGCACTGGTGTGCTAAAATTTGAGCCTGAAGAAATAGTAGCTTGAGTCTTACCAGGACCCCCTCCCCCTGCAGCACTTCTGGCCACCTCACTGCCCTGCCAAGTTCATTACCACCATAAGCCCAGCCTAGAGCACCGAGGTCTCCTGTACTCCCCTTTCCTGGGCAGCCAGAGCATCCTCCCTCCTCCAAGCATCTCCTTTCTATGCCTTTCTACCAGGACCAGTTCTTTGGTCATCTTCTTCATTCGAGGTGACTTTTTATGCCATTCAAAGGCTCTAGCAGCCCAGAGTGAAAGAGAGGAAGGGGAGTGGCCTGTAGGACTGATTTTGGTTTTGTTAACCATTTAAACACAGACGGTGTAGTACTCCAGTATCAGGGAATGGACACTGCCCACATAGACCACTGAAGTTGTACATTTTTGGTCTTATATAGATCCTCCCCTACACAGCACTGCTATATATGCTGATGAAGAAGAACTCTCCCAACACTGTGGGTCATCTGTCCCTTCAACTCCTCCAGGAAAAGCAACGAAAGAAAGGTAGGGTTACGTCAAGCCATTGTTGGTTCACGCTCTGAGATTTCTGGGAAGTTCTTCAAGTTAGAAGCTAATAAAACCCAAGTTTTGACATTTATTTTGAGAGTGTGAACATTAAAAACTAATTTCTCTATAATTGGCCTTACCTATAATAATTTTTGTAATTAACATAATTGACACTTGAATGACCCAGAATACCTGCCTGTAGTGGTCTCGTTTGTTTCCTTCTGCTGTAGTAATAGGAATACTTCTCCCCCTTCTAGTAATAGAATGGTTTTAGCTGGACACATGGCTCTCAGAATTCTAAACATACTCTCTCCGTGCTGTTGCAGCTGAGATGTGTGTGTGTGATTAGATTCTAGCTAAAATGGAGTCTAACTTCTGAAAGTCTCTTTGTGGGGAGGATTGTGCTCTTCTGTTTTCCATCCTTCTTCCTCCTAGTTAGAATGGGATGTGGTGGTGAAGACCGAGCAACCATGTTGGGCCGTGAGGCAGTGTACTGAGAGAGCAATGGATAGAAGCACCTGGGTCTCCTGATAACGGGACTACTACACCAGCCCTAAATTATTCTGGAGTTTGGCCAAGAAGGAAAGACAAGTGTCTTTTCTGAGCCATTTTGGGAATATATTTTTTACAATGTGCAGCCATCCTAATTCTCTCTCGTAAACTTGGTAAAGAGAGTTTTATCCTTATCCTAAGAGCAGTTGGAGGGTTTTAAGTAGGGGATGACATGGTAGGATCTACATTTAAAAATTACCAGCCTCGCTGCTGTCTGGCAAGTGGATTTGAGAGAGACAAGAATGGCATAGGGAGCCCAGTTTGGATGCTGTAGACTCAGGTCATCACGGCAGAGGTGGAGAGAAGTGGATGCACTTGAGAAGTAGGAGGCAAATGAGCAAGACTTAGTGATGCGCTGACTTTGCAGCACGGGACGAGTTGCTACCGGAGGTAACTCCTGAATTCCTTGCCTGCTTGAATGGATTGATGATGGTGCCATTGACTAAGATACGGGCTGCTGGGACATGGAGTTGTGTGGGCAGATCATCAGTTTGACATGGAGATGTCAGAGACCCTGTGTATTTGAGTCTGGAACTCAGAGCACAGGGCTGAGCTTAAGTTAGACGTTCTTTGCACGCGGATGGTATGAAGCTAACCTGAGAGGAGGCAAGGGCCTGGGACTAACCCATAAGAGGCCATGGCATCTACTGCCTGAGTAGAGAAGGAAGTTGTAGAGGAGAGAGGGGGAAAGTGGCTGGAAAAGAGAGAGGAGAACCAGGGCAGTGTTTATTCACAGAATTGTGTGTGTGTGAGTGAGGTGGGGGGAGGGAAATGGGAGAGAGGAGGGAGGGAGAGAAATTAAGTAAGGAGGGTCAAATGCAGCTGAGAAGCACGTGAGGCGAGGCCTGAGCGTTCTTTGCATTTAACCAGAGACTGTTCTCGGTAACCTTGGTTTTGGTGTCATGTCAAGTCCCAACAAGAGACATCATTTGGGTAAGTAATGCAGGTAAACAGAAAAGGAAGTTGGGGCAGCAGGGACGCACCCACTACAGAGAGACCAACAGCATTTCTCAGAAACCAGGTATGAAACCCAGGTCCTCAGGTGTGGAATTTGGGCATAGTCATCACTAGCCTAAACGCCCACCTGAGGCCTCAGTTTTAAAGTGAGTGCATTTGTGGTTGATGTTACGTGTTTGATGGATTGTATTGAATGAAAAGATGAAAATTCTCACCTTCCATCAGAAGTCAGGGTTACTTTTAGGGCGAAAGAGGAGATTCCCTGTTGGATCACCAGAGTTGAGTCTAGTGGATTAGCTTTTGGTACAGAGGACGGCCCTGGTAATCTGGAGGGAGGCGCAGTTCTCAGACATGACCAAACTGCAGCAGCCCTGGAGCGCTGCCGTCTGCCCGCCTGGGACAAACCAATGTGGCTGGGTCTGGGAGGCGGCCAATGAATCTAGGAAGGCGACCGGCCTGCCCGTGACAAACTGGCTAGCCCCAGAGTAAACTGAGCGGTGCTCGTGTCGGGGGAGCAGCTCGTAGAACCGTGTGCGAATGTGTGCAAGATACTGATGGCTTGTTCTTTCCTACAGCTTGAGCACTTCTGCAAGTGAAGCAAGTGAAAGCGCGTCTGTAAAACTGAGAGCCACAAAGGTACGTGCGCCTGTTCTTCAGACTCCGACAGGCATTTCACACTCCAGTTGACTGTGGAGAGTGTTCTGTGGCGGCAGTTTTCATAAAGCGCTATGTTCCAGAGGACGTTTTTGGGCTAAAAGTGAGTTTTTAAAACCTGAAGTGCTTTTCGTTAAGGCACGGTGCAGACGCCTCTGCCAGTTTTCAGAGCGGTGGCGCGCCGTGTTGGGGCTGGGGCCTCAGCGGCAGAGGGGATGGTGGGGAGTGTTGACGTGGAGCTCTGGCTTGTAGATTTCCTGTTCTGTCCACTGCTCAGCTGCCATCTCCCTGGGCTATAGAAGCTCGCGCCGCAGCGTGGCGCCATTGCCGCCAGGAGGGTGAGCGGTCGTGTTTTCCAGACCCGTGACGCTGTTTGCTTCTCGCAGCCAGGAAGAAGATGTAAGCCCCTTAGCGATGGCTCTGACAGCTCGGGAGAAAGTGAGATACGAAGAAAAGTTCAGTCACCAGAGAGAATCGGTGCGGGACGGTGTGACGCTGTTCCGGCCGGGGCGCCGTCGGGGCTTCCCGAGAGACGGCCGCGGTCAGAGAGGCCCGAGGCGGGAGGCGGCCGTGGCAGCGGTGCACCTGCGGACGGAGGGACCCCGGCCATGGTGAGGTCGCCCCGCGGGAAAGAAAAGGTTTACTGGAAAATGGTGTATTTTCTTTACTTCCTTCTGTTCTTTCAAACGATGAATGTTACATTCTTCTGTTGATAAACATGTTTTAGGAAATCTAGAAGAGAACATCAAACTCCCCTCCGCTTCTGCAGCCCCAAACTAGCCTCGGGGATCCTCAGCCCTACGGCTGGGCATTTCTCACCCTCGGTGGGCTCCGCACTGGTCATGAAGTACCCCACAGTGCCTTTCTAACAGACACAAACAGGGGCCGCCAATGTGGCACAGCAGGTCAAAGCCCCAGTCTGCAGCCCGGGCATCCCATATGGACGCCAGCTCAGGTCCCGGCTGCACCACTTCCGAGCCAGCTCCCTGCTGTTGTGCCTGGGAAAGCAGCAGCAGAAGATGGCCCAGCTGTTGGCCCCTGCACTCACATGGGAGGAAGCTCCTGGCTCAGATCTGGCCCTTGCAGCCAACTGGGGAGTGAACTGGTGGGTGGAAGACATCTCCGCCTCCCTACCTCTGTCTATAACTCTTTCAAATAAAGAAATATTTTTTAAAACATGCGAAACATTCTGTCCACGGATATGCCACAGTTTAATTACTTGTATTAATGAATAACTGTACTTAGACAGTTTTTAAGTGCCTTCATGAAGTCCTTTGTAGCTAAATCTTGGTGTGCACCCCTGATCCTTTCCTTAGAAAAAATTCTGATAAAATTTCTCAGAATTTGTTCTAAGATTCTTGACATATTTTGGTCAAGTTGTTAATATGTCACTGTACTCACTTGGTTTAATATTTTGAATAAATAATTCACGTCATGTTTGAAAAAATGTTACAGAATAATAAAATGTTCCTGCTACCCCATTTTCCAGTTTCCACCTTCCCACTCACTAAATGTACACATAGGTAATTAGTTTCTTACATATTCTTCCAGAATTTCCTTCTGCATGTACGAGGAAATATCAATATATTTTCTTATTTCTTTTTCATTTATTTCAAAGAGTTACAGAGAGACAAGCAGAATGGGGGCGGGGTGATCTTCCATCCACTGGATCACTCCCCAGAAAGAGAGAGAGAGAGAGGTCTTCCATCCTTCCATCCACTGGTTCACTCCCCAGATTGGCTGCAACTGCCATGGCTAGGCCAGGCTGAAACTGGGGTTAGCAGTTTCATCCAGGTCTCCCATGTGGGTGGCAGGGGCCCAAGAACTTGGGCCATCTTCCACTGCTTTTCCCAGGCCATCAACAGGCAGTTGGATCGGAAGTAGAACAGCTGGGACACGAACTGGCACCCATGTGGGATGGCAGCATTGTAGGTGGCAGCTTTGCCTGCTGTGTCACGACATAGGCCCCTGCGCTATGCATGTTCTGCCTCTTACTTACTAGGTCTGTCTCGGTGAACATCCCTGTGACTTGAATTTGCAGTTGTCAGGCATGGTGTTCTGAAAGTCAGCTGACGTCGAGTTGGCTGATGGTGAAGTTAAGATGCTGTGGGTCCTTCCTGCTTTGGTTGTTTGGAGGGTTTTTTCATTTTGTTTTTTTGATGAGGGGCGTCATAGTGTACTTGATCTGTCAGATACATAGATTTTTTTTTTTAACATCATAACATGATGAATTTTCTCTAGTTCTTTGAAGTTTTGTGTCATGAACTTGAAGCTTTGTTTTCCCCTAAAGCTTTTTATCATTATATATTATTTTAAATTAATAAATCATTTATGGGATACATGTGATGTTTTGATATATATATATTGTGAATGATTAGCTCAGGGTAATATATCCATCCACCTGTACACTTACCCTTTCTTGTACTGAAACATTTGAAATTTCTCATAGCTATTTTTGAGATATACATTGTTATTTGCTGTAGTCATTAGGCTGTGTGATAGATCTCAAAAACTTATTTCTCTTGTCTCTCTGAAGTTTTGTACCTTTTTTTAAAAAATATTTATTTATTTATTTGAAAGGCAGAGTTAGAGAAAGGGAGAAATAGGGAGACAGGGGGATCTTCCATCTACTGATTCACTCCTCAAATGGCCACAACAGCTAGGGTTGGATCAGGCCAAAGCCTGGAGCCAGGAGCTTCATCCAGGTCACCCACATGGGTGCAGGGGTCCAAGTAGTAAGGATATCTTCAGCTGCTTTCCCAGGCACATCAGCAGGGAGCTGGATCAGAAGTGGAGCAGCCAGGACTCGAACTGGTGCCCTTGTGAGATGCATTATACTGGCCCTGCTTTGTACCCTTTAATGAGTACTTCCCTACTCCCGCCACTCTCCAGCCTCTGGAAACCACCATTCCACTCCATATAAAGCTGTTTCAAATTGTGTGTTTGTTTAAGTATGTGTCTTTCTGATGAATGGCTTCTAGTATTATTATGAAATCTTGAAAATCTCTGTTGTGAGATCTTAATATAGCTACAAGAGCCTTCTTAAGCTTACTTTGCATGGTAAACTTTTTTTTAAATTCATTAATTTTCAATTTGTCTTTGTCTTTAAATTTAAAAAGGACTTCAGGCAGCAAGTCCTTATCCTGGTTTGATGTTCTCTGTCTTTGGATTGGATTGTTTGTTCATTTGCTTGTAATGTAATTATTGAAATGGTTTGGTTTAAGTCAACTATTTTGCTGTTTATTTTCCATCTGTACATCCTGTCCCTCCAATTCTCTAAAAATCCATTTTTATATAATTTTAAATATTATATTCAACTCAATCTTAGTATTTTCCATTTCTTGTTTTTCTGTCCTTCTATTGCTAATTTTTGATTAATTGAATATTCTTCAATATTCTGCTTTATTTTCTCTATTAGCTTATGAGCCATGCTTTTTTTTTGTTTGTTTGTTTGTTTTTTTGTTAGCAGTCACTTCTAGATTAAAAATGTGCATCCTCAGGACCGGCGCTGTGGTGTAGCAGGTAAAGCTGCCACCTGCATGCCAGCATCCCATATAGCTGCCAGTTTGAATCTGGGCTGCTCCACTTCCCATCTGGCTCTCTGCTATGGCCTGGAAAAGCAGTAGAAGGTGGCTTAAGTCCTTGGGCCCCTGCATCCACATGGGAGATCTGGAAGAAGCTCCTGGCTCCAGATCGGTGCAGTTCTGTTCATTGCGGCCATCTAAGAAATGAACCAGCAGATGGAAGACTCTCTCTCTTTCTCTCTCTCTCTCCCTCCCTCTCCCCTATTCCTTCCTTCCCTCCCTCCCTCCCTCTGCCTTCTGTAACTCTGCCTTTCAAATAAATAAATAAATCTTTTTAAAAAATTATTTATTTGACAGAGTTAGAAAGAGAGAGAAAGGTCTTCCTTCCGTTGGTTCACTCCCCAAATGGCCCCTACGGCCGGAGCTACGCCGATCCAAAGCCAGGAGCCAGGTGCTTCCTCCTGGTCTCCCATGCAGGTACAGGGACCCAAGCACCTGGGCCATCCTCCACTGCCTTCCCGGGCCACAACAGAGAGCCGGACTGGAAGAGGAGTAACTGGGACTAGAACCTGGAGCCCATATGGGATGCTGGTGCTGCAGGCGGAGGATTAACCAAGTGAGCCACGGTGCCAGCCCCAATAAGTAAATCTTAAAAAAATAAAAAAATGCATCCTCGGAAGTAGGCACTTGGGTTAGCAGTTATGATGCCCATGTGCCACCTGGGAGTACCTGGGCTTGATTGCCATCTCCTGATTCCAGCTTACTGCCAGTGCAGTACCTGGAAGGCAGCAGGTGATGGCTCCAGTGATCCGTCCTTTCCAAAGGCCCCAGCTGTTGCAGGCCTTTGGAAAGCGAACCAGCAGATGGGGGTTCTCTTGCAGGTTCTTAAAAAAATATTACGTGTGTGTGTGTGTGTGTGTGTGTGTGTACCCATATACACACATCCTTAAATTAGCAATCTATTTGGAATCAGTGTGTTACTTTGTCATCCTTGTATATCCTACTTCATAGCTGACAATTTCTTCCCACTATATAATGTAATTATATAACAGTATAATTTCATTTATTCATCCCCCATCCTCTGTACTATTTTTGTCATATTTTACTTGTAGATGGTAAATCTGACCTCACAATATTCATTTTTTTTTAAAAGATTTATTTATTTGAGTGAGAGGCAGAGTTTCAGATTTACAGAGACAGAAAAATCTTCCATCTACTCGTTCACTCTCCAAATAGCCACAACAGGCAGAGTTGAGCTGATGAGGAGCCAGGAGCTTCTTCTGGGTCTCCCATGTGGGTGTAGGCGCCCAAGCACTTGGGCCATCTTCCACGGCTTTCCCAGGCAATAGCAGAGAGCTGGATCAGAAGAGGAGCAGCCGGGACTAGAACTAGCGCCCATATGGGATGCTGGCACTGCAGGCGCCGGCCCCACCTGAGGGGTTTTCATCTACAGGACTGACCATACAGTTCCTCCCCTCCCCTTACCACAACTTACGTGGCGACCACCCACAGAGGCCCCTACCCCCTTCTGCGCTCAGGACGCTGCACCAGCTTCAGTTAGCTGGCCCTTCGTTTCTTGTGGGAATCCTGTGTGGGAATGCCCACTGTGTTATGGCAACAGTTCAGTGAGGCTTCTCTCTTGTTCTTCTGTCTTACATGTCAACTTAATTTGTAGTTCAACCAAAGAACCTAGAGGGGTGGAAGGGAGGCTTTTCCCCTATAAGAGCTTTAAGAACTGTTACTTCCTTGTAGCTGGAAACAGAAATGTGACCTGATTTTGCACGTTGTAATCTTACACAGTGGAAGTTCCACTTTCTCCCTTGCAATGATTGTTAAAAGTCCACTCAAAGTCTTGTGAAAATTCAATTTTTTGGTAATGTTTTCTTAAACTAATTTAGATAATTAATATAAGTAATTTAGAACTAAGGAATTATAGTTAAAATACTGATTGTGTTTGCTAAGTCATCTTAAGGCTTATGTTTTAAGAATGAATACTTCTTCAATAAAAACATGTGCTTTATAATTTTTATAGGAAACTCAGAAAAAGGAGACTATGTCTCGTGGCAAAAGGAAAAAAACAAGCAATGAAGCTGGAGATTCAGGTACAGGATGGTGTTTTATTTCTTTGTAGTTTATTTACTTATGCAGAGCCACCTCCCTTCTGCTGATTCCCTTGCCCCAAATGCTTACAACAGCTAGGGCTGGGCAAGACTGAAGTCAGGAACTCGTTCCAGGTCTCCCACGTGTGTGCCAGGGACCCAGCTAGCGGAGCCATGACCTGCTGCCTCCCAGGGTGCACGTCAGTGGGAAGGCGGAACTGCGACTTGGGACTGGAACGCAGGCCCTTGAGTATGGGGTGTGGGTCTCTCAGCAAATAAACCAACTGCCAAATGTCTGCCCCAGAATATGCATGATACTTTGTCACTTAGTCAAAGATGTAATGGAAAAAAGTGCTGATTGGTTAAAACAGTAAATTGTTACTGCTACTTTGAAAAATGAAGCATGTGTGACTTTGAGGTAACTATTTTTAATGTTTTGTCGTGAAAATTTTCAACATACAACAAACTGAATTTTACAGTGTATATTCACCTACTATCTGGATCTCACAATTAACACTTGAGTTGTTAATTTGTCCATTAATGCATTTCAAAATAAATTTGACATTAGTACATTTCTTTTGAATTATTTCAACGTATACATCATTAACCAGAGTTCTATGCTTGTTTACCATTTTTTTTCTTTTTTTAAAGATTTATTTGGGGCTAGCACTTTTTAGTAAGTTAAGCCTCCACCTATGGCACCGGCATCCCATATGGGCACTGCTTCGTGTCCTGGCTGCTGCTCTTCTAGTCCAGCTCTCTGCTATGGCCTGGGAAAGCAGTAGAAGATGGTCTAAGCGCTTGGGCCCCTGCCACCCATGTAGACACCAGGATGAATCTCCTGGCTTTGGATCAGCCAAGCTTCAGCCATTGCAGCCATTCAGGGAGTGAACCAGCTGATAAAAGATTCTCTCTCTCTGTATCTCTCTGTTTCTCCCTCTCTGTAACTCTGCCTCTGAAATAAATAACTAAATCTTAAAAGACTTTGAGAGGCAGAGTTACAGATTGAGAGAGAAAAAGACATCCTCTATCTGTTAGTTCAGTGTCCAAATGGCTACAATGGGCAGTGCTGGGACAGGCTGAAGCCAGGAGCTACGAGATTCATCCTGGTGTCCCACATGGGTGGCAGGGACCCAAGCACTTGGCCACCCTCCATGGCTTTCCCAGGCACATTAGCAGGGAGCTGGGTAGGAAGTTGGAACATCAGGGACTCTAACTGGTGCTTATATGCAGCAGACTTAACCTGCTGTACCACAACACTGCCCCCCTAGTTCTTTTCTGTTAATGTAAAATGTGCATACAGTGAAATGCCTAGATCTTGGGTATATAATAGCTGAATTTTGGGAAATGCAAACACTTGTGTAACTCAAACCACTATTAACATAAAGATGCTTCCCATTCCTCCCGAAATTTCCCTATTCCCTTTGATGCCTGTCCCCTCTTCACATTCCCAGAGACAGGGACTTTGGTGCTCTTGTTTTCTACCATAGATTAGCTTTGCCTGGTGTGGGATTTCGCATGGATGGACTCCCACAGCATGTGCTCTGCTGTGGGTCCGCCTTGGTGTTGTGTGTGATGTCTGTCGTGTGTGGCATTGCGCTGCACCGCTGCACCACAGCCCCGCCGGCACTCCCTGATGGATGCTGACTGGATTCCAGGTTTTGGCCCTCATGAATAAAGCTGCCGTGAACCTTCTCTCACACATTTCCTTGTTAACACGTGTTTTGGTTTCTCTTGGGAAAATATAAAGAGTAGAGCTGCTGAGTCCTAGGGTGACCAAATTTTAAAAACCGTATGCCCAAAGTGATTGTATGATTTTACACACCCACTAGAAGCTAAGGTGTAGATTTTTTTTTTTTTTTTTTTTGGACAGGCAGAGTTAGAGAAAGGTCTTCCTTCCATTGGTTCACCCCCAAATGGCCCCTATGACCGGCGCACTGTGCCAATCTGAAGCCAGGAGCCAGGTGCTTCCTCCTGGTCTCCCATGCGGGTGCAGGGCCCAAGGATCTGGGCCATCCTCCTCTGCCCTCCCAGGCCACAGCAGAGAGCTGGACTGGAAGAGGGGCAACCGGGACAGAATCTGGTGCCCTGACTGGAACTAGAACCCAGAGTACCGGTGCCGCAGGTGGAGGATTAGCCTAGTGAACTGAGGCGCCAGCCTGCAGTGTAGAATTTACTAAGAATAGAATGAGCAACTTCACGGGAAATAAATTTAAAATAGATGCAAAGGAGACACATCTCCACTCTATCCATGACTGTGGCATATAAACCTGTAGAAAAGAAGGCTGACAAAACTAGCTCTTCAAGATCACAACCAGGATAATCCTACAACCACCAGGGAAATACAGTCACTAGAGAAAAACATTCCTGTGGAGACAAAGCAAGAAGCAGTTAAGGCCTAGTTCCAGGCGATTTTCCGGGTGAGCCTAACAGCCACTTAAGGAACCCTCCACTCTAAGCCTGCGACAGTGACGTGGAAGGAGAGAAGGGAAGGTGCCCTGTGCGTCTCTGCAAACCTGCTGAATGCAGGACGAGATGGGGAAGGGCTGTGGCCATGTCCCGGTGCGGGAAGACCAGCTGATGCCCTCTGTCTCCCATCCACACGACAGTCGTTTCAAGTGGAGAGAAGACTTCATTTGTGGGAGGTATGATCTGACAACTTTTAGAGAAAGTACAGGAGTGTATGACTCTGAATTCTTACAGAAGACACAAAAAGGTTAGCTGTGAAGGAAATGAGTAAGTTTAGCTGATAAAATCAAGGACTTGTGCTCATCCAGAGACCATGAAGAGAAAGGCACAGGGTGAGACTCAAACAGCAGTAGCACATGGGGGTGATACACACTCTGCCAGCCCGGTAGAAGGAATGGGCAGGTGGCATTACGGATTTTTACTGGAGAAGAAACAGTGAAAGAAAGGTTTAAAGACAGTCCATTATGAGTGACAGAAATGTCAGCTTCAGTTATGATGAGACCCTTCTGCACCTACAGTAGCAGGATTCATGCACAGAGACAAGACACCAAGGCCTTTAGTAGAAAGTAGTCTTTTTATTATTTATGCCAGCATAAGGCCCAGGTGGGATTTCTTATCTAAAAGCCTAAGCCCAGAACAAAGAGGGCTGTTTCCTTAGATATGGCTTTAGCCTCTTTGTCTCCCTTACTTGGTTCCATGCCTACATTGGATTGGATATTGTGATGTTACATGGCAGCCACAGGAATTGATGCAGTACTGGGCATGTATACATTTTTCCTCCCACGCACATACTGAGCTGTAGCTGTCTGCAAGGGTTAACAGCATTGCTGTGTACTAGCAAGCAGGACCTGAAGTGGTCCATAGAAGCAGGTCGGGACTGCAGCGGAAGCATTCACAGGCAGGCAGGTAGCAGCCACACTTCATTCCCAGGACAGATGCCTCCCTTTTCCTTTTTCTGACCTTGGGAAGGCTCTGCCACAACTTTAATCCTTTTAGCAACAAGTTTAATTAAAAGACAAAGTCCTCTGCCACACGGCTGCATTGGCAGATAGTTAATTCTTCAGGGAATGAGGTTATGGGCAGTGGGAATCCTTACCCACTGCAGGTAGAAAGCTATGGTAACAATTTTGAAAACCATTTTGGCAACTTCGGTAATGTTGAAAATACACAAAGTCAGAGACCTGGCTGGTGCCTGTGATACATTTCCTAAAGAAATTCCTTGTGAAACGTATTTATGAGTGTTCGTAGCATTATTTTTTTGTGCTATTAAAATCCTGATAGCAGTGCTGGCGCCACGGCTCAGTAGGCTAATCCTCCACCTAGCGGCGCTGGCACACCGGATTCTGTCCCGATTGCCCCTCTTCCAGGCCAGCTATCTGCTGTTGCCCGGGAAGGCAGTGGAGGATGGCCCAAGTCCTTGGGCCCTGCACCCCATGGGAGACCAGGAGAGGCACCTGGCTCCTGCCTTCAGATAGGCACGGTTTCCGGCTGCAGCGCAAACCAACGGCAAAGGAAGAGCTTTCTCTCTGTCTCTCTTTCTCACTGTCCACTCTGCCTGTTTAAAAAAAAAAAAATCCTGAAAGCAGTCAGTCATGGTAGAATTGATAGGTAAATTGTGATATAATTTTGCAATGAAATAGAAAATTAAAACTTTTGCTGGCATAAATATAAAAAAGTCAAAAATGTAAACTGAACTCTTGTTTAGGAATATGTATGTGCCTGTAGCATAAAATCATGAGGACTAATACAGTGATAAACAGACTTCTGAATGGTGGTAACCTGCAGGTTGGCAGGGAGATGCGTGCAGCTGGGGGCCCACTGGCTGCTTCCCATGTTAATGTTCTCTTTCTCTAGCTGCTCAGTGATCTCAAGGTTGTGCACCTCCATATTTCACAGGCAAGTGTTCTTGTGTGTAGAATATAATTCATAATTCTGGTGCCAAGATAAAAATGTTAAGTAAAGACAGATTGGATATAATGGTTCTTCATAATTTTTGTTAATCTGTTCCTTAGAGCTTAAGGAAGATTTTATTTGGACTAATAAGATCTTGAGATACTGTGTTTTGTTTAAAAAAAAATATAGTACCTTTTGGAGGTTTCAAGATGGCAGAATTGGGAGGGAGCTTCCTGGTCTAGTCTAGGGAAAGATAGTTTAAAATAAAAAAAGGTGAGAGACTACAATCTCAGGGAAGAGTTAGGGAGAAAACAGCAGAGGAAACTCCATGCAAATTAGAGGGACACAGTTGTCCTACATGGAGGTGTGGAGGTGACAACTCAGGGCCCCAGTACTCAAACAGTATTTTTCACTTTGTGTTTCTATGTGGGTGCAAACTGTCGAAATCTTTACTTAATATATGCTAAACTGATACTCTGTATATAAAGAGAATTGAAAATTAATCTTGATGTAAATGGAAGGGGAGATGGAGCGGGAAAGGGGAGGGTTGCAGGTGGGAGGGAAGTTATGGGGGGGAGCCATTGTAATCCATAAACTGTACTTTGGAAATTTATATTCATTAAATAAAAGTAAAATAAATAAAAGCTCAAAGTAGAACTGTAGGTCTTCAGAATCCTACTACAGAATATTACAGTAACATTTTAAAACAATGCACCGAGTAATCATGTATTCTGCAAGTGGCCAGTTAACGGAGGGATTAAAGTTCACAAAATACTGTCCTTGCCGACAAGGACTTTATCGGGAGTGGTGTTGGACAGCTACACACAAGATAAAGGGCAGCAAAGCTTTTGGTTGCTTCAGCAGAAATGGGAGAACCAAAGAGACGGCAGGAAGAGAGTGAGCATACAGACGGGGTTTGTGAGGGAAGCAGTGGGCAGGAAGCAGTGAGGATGGCGCCTCCCATAGGATTCTTCAGCCGGAGCTGCCTTTACCCAATGGGAGGCACTGTTTTTGTTTCAAGCTTTCAGAACTGTCTCTAGAGCCAAATACGAACAATCAGCATGTTCAAGTTGACTTGTCTTGATATTCTAGGTATTTCTGACAGCGTGCATATTTGGTGTCTAGAAGGAAAAAAGAAGAGTGACCTCATGGAGTTGGATATTGTTTTGTCTGCATGTGAGAAAGCAATCCAGGAGCATAAGTAAGTCTTGATGTTCTAGTGCATACACAACTGATTCCCCTTCAGGTACGACTGTTGCTTAGTGGGTTTTTGTATGTCTTCTCATTATTCTTACATCTTAGATATTTTTGTTATGATTTTCCTTAATCCTGTGAGTCACTAGCAGTATGTTTTTATATGTCCAAATATGTGGCTTTTTAATTTGTATTTTTGTATGAACTCTACCTTAACTGTCGTCGTCAAAGATCCTGATGGTCTGGTGATACTGACTTGAAATGTTGAGGCTTTCTTTATGGCCTAGCACGTAATCCGTGTGGAATCTCTGAATACTAGATCTGGGGAGTTTAATTATTGCATCTGGATGGAACCAGTAATTACTCAGTTTTTCCTGGTATTTGTGCTGTATATATTTAGAGACCATTTTATTAGGAACATCATGCTTTAAATTGCTCTGTCTTATAAATGAGACATTTATCATCAAGTAATGGTGACCTCCATTGCTAGAAATGCTTTTTTGTCTTAATATCTATTTTAGCTGATACTGATATGCATCACTAGCTTTCTTTTGCTAGCATTTGCCAGACGTGACATGCGTATCACAGGCGTACCTAAGACAGATCGCAGGTTTGCTTCCAGACCACTGCAGTAAAGCAAATGCCACAATAGAGTCACGAATTTTTGGTTTCCCAGCACATTTGGAAGTTACATTTATACTATACTGTAGGCTTTTAGGCATATAATAGCTTTGTGTCTAAAATATATATATATATATAACTTAATTAAAAATATTGTATTGCTGAAAACTGGTAATGATCTCTCTCAGTGAGTCATGCTGTTTTTGCTGGTGGAGGGATCTGGCCCCGAGGTTGACAGCTGCTGACTGATCAGGGTGGTAGATGCTGAGTGGCTTTGACAATTTCTTCAAATAAGGCAAAAACGGAGTTTGCTGCACTGGTCGACTCTTCTTTCCCTGAAAGCGCTCTCTGGGGCATGAGATGCTGGTGGGCAGCACTTTGATCGGTCCTGACATTCTCTCTGCTTTCCCAGCGATGTCCATGCACGGTCTCAGTCTCCTGTTGTCACGTCAGCCGCGTCACAGCCTCTTGAGCAGGTGCGGGGGCCATCGGGAGAAGCCCCTTTCTCTGTTCAGCCCGAGCGGCAGCTCCTGTCTGCCAGGTTTGGCCATGAGAGCGCAGCCGTTGGGTCGCGTCTTCAGGCTCCGCTTGCAAGTCTCTGCTCTTGCTGCTTCCCTCACATCCGCGGTTACTTTCTCTACCAGTCCTGACCCCCGTCACTCGTCCGGAAGTCCGGAAGGAGGGAAGCCACGTCTTTCAGGTCCTGTTGTTGTTGATAGTTCTGACCTCCTTGCAGGGATCGCGAAAGTTCTTGGTGGCATCTAGAACTGTGAATCCTTCCCAGGCCGGAGGGTGGGGGCCTGAAGCCAGGCTTCATCGTTTGGGCAACAGGCAGTCCCTTTCCAAGTGGCTTGTTGGAGAGGTGCAGGCACCACACGGACCCTGGTAGGGTGCCTGGGGGGCGTGCAGAAAGGCACGTGGCTCAGCATATTGTCTCAGCAGGTGCGGGGGCTTTCCCCGCAGCAAGCAGCCCACGAGGCTCCAGGTGAACGCTCTGTGCCATTTCATCGGGGGGGCCTCGGTGGCCTGACAGCTTCTGACTATCCTTTGTTTTTCCTGACTTAGAAGTGGGAAGGTCTGCTAATGTATTTCTTAGATGCATGCATGCATGCAGCCATTTATCCCATTTGTTGTTTGTTGCACTGTTTTGGTTTTTATATCTACTATTTCTGCTTGGTTCTTTTTTGTGCCTTCAGTTCGCGTCGTTCCTGGTTAGCATCCTGGGAATACTGTCTAAAATCCATTTGATGGAATCAGCTCTCCTAGGGGTTTTCCTCTGGGAGCAGTTGTGCTGCTCTGGCGTTGCTTCTCTGGCCTGGGAGCTTGTCAGGAGACAGGAGTGCCCGGGATGGAGGCGGCAGGGCCGGGGAGCGAGAAGCCCAGTCGCTTGGCCGTCACCCCAGGCCCCGCAGAGAGCAGTGCCAGGAGGGTAGGTCACTCCCTGGGAAAGGTGAGGAAACAGCTGCCCAAGGTCAGTCTCCCCACTGTTCCCCAGGCCTCACAGGCCCGGGGCTGCCTTTAGTCCTGAGGACCAGGAGACAGGGTCGAATCCCTGCCAGTGACAGGTGTCTGGGAGGCCGTGTGTGCGGGGACGGTGGGGAAGACACAGGAGCCGGCCCTCAACAGCCAGCCACAGCCTCGGCTCTCACCTTTCCCCTTTCAGAATCCCTCCCCTTGGGGTTCACAGCCTTGTCTGGTTCTGTGGCGGTTCCCCTCTGGGGTTCACCCGCATTGATGTGGCGTGGGGCGGGTCTGTCACACTAGAACTCAGCAGTGTCACTGTGAGGAGAGCCTGGTTTTTTCTTCTCTGCTCTATAATCCAGAGCCAGTTTGCTGTTAAAACTGGTTCTCTTAACGCACCAACACTGGCTTTTGTTATCCTTTTCTCATTCATAAATCGCCTAAAGACTTACTGTAGACTTGGGATATTTTAGGGAAACTGGCCTTGTTAATTTACCTTTTGGTATATTTTAAATTTTTATTTATTTGTTTGAGGGATAGAGGGAGCATCTATCTGCTGGTTCACTCCGCAAATGCCTACAATGGCTGGGGCTGGGGCTGGGCCTGGGCCGGGCCGAAGCCAGGAGGAAGGAACTCAATCCAGGTCTCCCACCTGATGGCAGGAGCCAAGTTACCTGAGCCACCAGCACTGCTTCCCAGGGTCTGAATTAGCAGGAAGCTGGAATCGGGAATGAGGGCCAGTTATCCAACCTAGGAGCTCTGATATGGGATGTGGGTGTCTCAATCATTGGGCTAAAGAAATGCCTACCCTTGGGGCCGGCGCCATGGCACAGTAGGTTAATTTTCCGCCTGTGGCACCGGCATCCCATTTGGGCACTGGTTCGAGTCCTGGTTGCCCCTCTTCCAGTCCAGCTCTCTGCTGTGGCCTGGGAAAGCAGTGGAGGATGGCCCAAGTCCTTGGGTCCTTGCACCCACATGGGAGACCCAGAAGAAGCTCCTGGTTCCTGGCTTCAGATCAGTGCAGTTCCAGCCATTGCGGCCATTGGGGAGTGAACCAACGGGAAGGAAGACCTGTTTCTTTCTCCTTCTCACTGCCTGTAACTCTACCTCTCAAATAAATAAAAACAGTCTTGAAAATAATAAATAAATGCCTACCCTTAGCATATTAAGTTCTTGGGAAGTGACTTAGGAAAGGGACAGATTGGAAAATCCAGGACCTAAAATGCTTGAAAATCTGAAACTGAGCACCAACATGAAGCCACAGTGGAACATTCCACACCTGACCTCATGTGACAGACTGCAGTCAGAACACATACTTAAAATGTCGCATAAAATTATCTTTAAGCCATGTGTTTCAGGTGTATATGAAATATAAATGAATTTTCATGTTTAGACTTGAGTCCCAGCCCCAAGAAGTCTCATTATGTATATGCACATACTCCAAAATCCAAAACAATTGGAATACAAAATGCTTCTGGTCCCCGGCAGTTTGGATAAAGAATACTTCACTTGCATTTTTCACAGACTTTTAAAATTACAAAACAACGTTGTTTTTTGTTGCATCAAACAATTCCTGTGAAATCACTGATCTTGTGTTTTTGCAACCTCTAGGTTCTCAGCCACGTGGAATACTTCCCACTTTCCAAATAAACACCTGTTTGGGGGTCTGCTATTTGTAATACACGTGACAAGCCTGAACAATTTTTTTTTGCTTGTCAACAGACTCGCTCGTTGTAAGCGGTATGTCAGTGTGTATAAGCAAGGAAGTATGTCATGAAATGCAGACATCACACATTCTTAGGATACTCCATAACTAGGTCTGGATGAAGTGGCCAGGTTTTTTAAGCACTAAACTTGAAAGAGCTGTGTCTGAGCATCCTGTGTAGACTGTCACCTTGTGGCTGATAGAATCCATCAGTTTATCATCATTAGAATGAACCGCAGCAGAGAGGCCTGGCCCGTTTTTCTTATTAAAAAAAAATTTTTTTTTTTGACAGGCAGAGTGGACAGTGAGAGAGAGAGAGAGAGAGAGAAAGGTCTTCCTTTTCTGTTGGTTCATCCCCCAATGGCTGCTGCGGCCGGCACACTGCGCTGATCCGATGGTAGTAGCCAGGTGCTTCTCCTGGTCTCCCATGGGGTGCAGGGCCCAAGGACTTGGGCCATCCTCCACTGCACTCCCTGGCCACAGCAGAGAGCTGGCCTGGAAGAGGGGTAACCGGGACGGAATCCAGTGCCCCGACTGGGACTAGAACCCAGTGTGCCAGCGCCACAGGTGGAGGATTAGCCTATTGAGTCATAGTGCTGGCCAAAAAAATTTTTTTCACATCTGAAAATTTGGTATCTATATTAAATTAGAAATTCTTCTTCACAAGATAGGACGTATAATTTGTACCTGTGATAACAGGACATCATAAAACTTGCCATCTTAAGCATTTGTAAGTGCACAGGTCGGCAGTGTGAAGTAGATTCTCACTGTTGTGGTCCCCGCTCTAGACACTGTTCATCTGGTCAAGCCCAAACCTGTGTCCATTAAACTATCCCCTTCTCACCAGCCCCTAGCAAGCACTCTTCTATTTTGTTCTGCAGACTTGACTACTCTGTGTAACTCATAAGTGGGATCATACATTTGAGGGTACTTAAAAACAAAATGGAATTAAAAGATAGTTATTTTGGTGCACAAAATTTTGAAACCCATGCATAGTTTTGCCCTAAAATCCATTTTCCACAAACCTTCTGAAGACCCTTCATATGCGTCCCTTTGTAATTAGCTTATTTCACGCGTCTGTCCTCAGGGTTAATCCACGTGGTGGCCATGTTGTCAGAATTTCCTTTTTAAGGCAAATAGAAGCTTTAAACGGATGCAGCTCCATTTGTCTGTTCTTGCTTTTGTTATCTGTGTGTTGATGTGACATGCAATCCCTATTTTTTCCACTTGGGATGTTACTGTTTTAGTCTTTAATGCATTCTGAGTGCATTTTGAAGTATGCATAGTGTAAGGTAAGGGCCAGCTTCACTTATTTTACAGGTGGACCTGCAGATTTTCTAACACCCCTTGCTGAAGAGCCTGCCTTCCCCATTATGTAGTGCTGGCACCACACTGATGATCAGAAGCCCCCAGTGTACGTGAAAGTTTGTTTCTGGATTTGCTATGCAGTCTTATTGGTCTGTGTTTCTGTCTGTATTCCAGTGCCATCCTGTTTTGACTACTGTAGCTTTGTAATATGTTTCTAAATCAGAAAGTATGAGGCCTGCAGCTTTCTTAAGATTGTTTTGGCTTTCTGGAGTCTTTTGATAGTCACATGAATTTTAGGATTTTTTCTAGTGCTGCAAAAAATGTCACTGGACTTTTGATAGGAGGTGCAGCGAATCTGTGTATTAAGTTTTCTAGTCAATAAGCATGGAATGTCCTTCCAGTTATTTGTGTCTCTTTCTCCGCATTCCTGCCAACACCCGTGTTCTGGTGGTGTTTACAGTAGTCATCCCAGTGAGTAGAGTGCCATGTAGACCTGTCTGCATTCCCCTCGTGTTAGTGTCGCGTGTCTTTTCAGGTGCTTCATGACCATTTGTATCTTTGGAGAAAATGAGTGATACAGCAGAGAGATACAAATTATTGTTTAATTTTTTTTTTCATTTTATTTGAAAGGGAGAGGGAAGGGGTGGAAGAGAGATACTGATTTCTTCCATCTACTGTGGTTCACTCCCCAAATGCCTACAATAGCCGAGGCTGGGCCAGGCCAAATCCAGGAGCCAGGAAGTCAGTCCGGGTCCCCCACATGGCTGGCAGGGACCCAACACTGAGCCACCACCTGCCGCCTCCAGGGGTGCAAGTCAGCAGGGAGCTAGAATCGAAGCAGAGCTGGAACTCAAACCAGGCACGCTGATGTGGGCTATGGGCCGCCCAAGCAATAGCTTCACCACTGCATCAAACCCCTGCTCCCAAGAGTTCTAAATTCAAACAGTGAGTGTCCTTTATCTGAAGTGTTTGGGACTGAAAATGTTTGATTTCTGAGCTTTTCAGATTTTGGAATACCTGCACACTTAATTGGTTGAGTGTCTTTAATCCAAGAATCCAAAACTGAGTGTAATGTTGGCACTCAGCATTTTGGATTTCAGAGCGTTTTGGATGCTGGGTTTTTAGATAAGGGGTGTTCAACCTATTATGGATAGCTATAGACTGCAGGCTACTTCAGCAACACAGAATACACATTCTTCTCAAGATCACAAGGAATATTTGTCAAGACAGATCACAATCTAGGCCATAAAAAACACAACGCTAAGAAATGTAAAATAATAGAAATCTTACAGTGTCTGGTTGCAGACAGATAGCTGGAAAAAAATTTTTTAAATACTTGGCAATTAAACAACATACCTTTTTTTTTTTTTTTTTTTTTGACAGAGTAGACAGAAAGGTCTTCCTTTGCCGTTGGTTCACCCTCCAATGGCCACTGCGGCCGGCGTAGCGTGCTGATCCGAAGGCAGGAGCCAGGTGCTTCCTCCTGGTCTCCCATGGGGTGCAGGGCCCAAGCACTTGGGCCATCCTCCACTGCACTCCCGGGCCACAGCAAAGAGCTGGACTGGAAGAGGGGCAACTGAGACAGAATCCGCCGCCCTGACCGGGACTAGAACCCGGTGTGCCGGCGCCACAGGCTGAGGATTAGCCTAGTGAGCCGCGGCGCCGGCCACAACATACTTATAAAGAACATGTATGTCAAAGAAGAAATCTTAACAGAAAACTAAATGTGTTTGAACTAAAGTGAAAAATACGGGATGCCAGGAAAGCAGTGCATCAGTCATCTAACTCATCTTAGCAATCCAGGTACAGAAGCAAAGGAAACCCAAAGTAAGCAGGAGACTAATAGTAAAAATTGGAGAAGAAATTAAATAAATTGAATATAGGAGCTCACGTGTTCTGGTTTGAGTATGATTTGCCTCTAAACTCATGCAGCATGTTAAACCCCAAAGTCGTTAAGTTAATGGTTCTAAGAGGAAGGAGGTAGTCCAGCTAAGGTGATTTGAAGAGGGTCCCTGGGTCACTGGGGTGAGCCGTCAGATGTGGTTCTAACCGCAGGGTTGCTTAACAGTGTGAGCGTGGGCACAACCACTCTCTGGCTTGCCCATCCGTTGGTGAAGGGCACTTCTGGTCATTTTCTTTGCTGAGACATGTTTCCTAGATTGTCTGAGAAAGTACCACAGGCTGAATATTACATCTTAAATTTTTTTAAATGGTACATGCCAAGTTGTGCATGTATATTACATATGCTAAGCCGGAGAAACACATTTCAAAATCCTTCATGATACCTAATTTGATCCCTTTTTTAACTCCTCTACAGAGAAAGAATAGAATCTAAAATTTGTAAAGAAGCCATCAATAAATTTCATTGTAATATTAAAGAAGAACTCATCAAAATGGTAAGCTCACTGACAAATTTCTTGGCCTAAGGTTTTTCAGCTTATCCTGAGGCAGTATGCTGTTAGCATAGAAAAGCTTGCATTTTCTGGCAATATGGTAATAAAGTCATTAGCACTACTCATATTTTACATGCTATTTTTAAATTAAATGTAACCTATGTCAAAATGATTAATCTTGGGAAATGCACAGGAATTATCTTTCGTTTCATACAGCTTAAAGAAGCCCAGATGTTGAAAAACCTGAAAAGGAAGAACGCTAAGGTAAGTGACGTCAGCAATTAGGGTGATGTGACTACACGATACTAACACAGGTGGTTAGGACCTGACTTTGGGGTTTGCTGCCTTTAGAATTTTGTGTAAGAATTTTTATCTTTTTAGACTCTTATTTGGTTGATGTTCAAGGAAGTGCTATTAAATCTTTTTGAAAGATGTCTCAGTTGGTCTAAAAATGGCTATCAACGTCCAAAATGGTCCCTTATATGGGTACATGTTGAGTAATGTACATTTATTGCTTTTGTGGGTGTCAAAAAGCAAAACCTTTTAGAGCACTGTCTAAGGCAAAAGGGCAGCCGGGAAGAACACCAGGTTAGGAGTCCTAAGAGCTCACCTGTAGTCCTGGCTCTGCCCCCTTAGTAGGCAGCAGTGGGAAACAAGCCAGTGAACACGGGATTCCCCTTTGCTTGTTTGTGAATGAATGGACCGAATGACCTCAGAGGTTCCACCACCAAACTTCCACGAATCCAGGAGTGCAAAGTCACTGTTCCTCTGCATTGGTAACAGAAATGACCTTGAGAAATATACATTTGTCTTCTGGCAATTACACATCTTTTTTTCTTTCAACTGTAATCTCATTTTGGTCATTTCTACATTGTTTATGGATGTCCAACAGCAGTGTATTAGGTAGTGACTAATGAGACCTCTGAGATAAGAAAACTTATTGAAATAGTTTTAAAAATACAAAACAGAGGCTGGCGCCACGGCTCACTAGGCTAGTCCTCCGCCTTGCGGCGCCGGCATGCTGGATTCTGTCCCGGTTGCCCCTCTTCCAGGCCAGCTCTCTGCTGTGGTCAGGGAGTGCAATGGAGGATGGCCCAAGTGCTTGGGCCCTGCACCCCATGGGAGACCAGGAGAAGCACCTGGCTCCTACCATCGGATCAGTGCGGTGTGCCGGCTGCAGCGGCCATTGGAGGGTGAACCAACAGCAAAGGAAGACCTTTCTCTCTGTCTCTCTCTCTCTCACTGTCCACTCTGCCTGTCAAAAAAAAAAAAAAAATACAAAACAGATCACAACACTGTCCTGCAAGATCACATCTGTCTAGCTCATGGGATCTACTGAGGATCTAGCCCCTCACCTTCTCCAGATCATCCTGAAGTAGATCCCACACCCACACTATTCCAAGGTTCCCTCTTTTCCTGGCGGTACACATCACAAAATTAACAAAGAAATTACTCTTACTTAGGTGATTGCAGATATCAAGAAGAAAAGGCAGCGTTTGGTTGAAGTCCAGGATGAACTGCTTCGGTAAGATAGCAACAGTCCTGTGACAGAACATACCTCAAGGAACCCAAGTGTGCTACGTCATCGGGAGGCGTTAATACTTGCTGCTGTGCCATACGAAAACTCCAGGTTATCTTTGAATTTGGATGCTCAGTGAGGGCAGGTTATGCTACGTCGCTGTAGCCCCCATTAGCAAGGGAGGATTTGCCACTGATGTCCCGACTTCTCTCAGCTGTGGCCTGAGAGGCACCCCAATTAAATTCATGCATAAATTAATGCAGTTAGACTGCCTGGCTTTGAATCCAGGCTCGGCCCCTCACTGCCCGTGCAACTTTAACCAAGTCACTTAACCTGTTAATAACTCCGTTCCCTCTTTAGTATAAAGGCGTAATGCTATCTAACAGACCATCGGGTGTTGTGAGAAGTGCTTCATGGGGATGGCACATGGTTAAGTGCTGTATAAATGTTGGCAGTTGTGTGAATCCACATTCCCAGAGGCTGGACCAGACGGTCCCAGAACTGGCCAGCCGGGGTCTGGTTGCAAAGACTGGAGCCCACAGCAGCCTGCAAGTGTTTCTTCCTGCTCTTCTGTACCTGTTGCGTGAGCTGGGAGTTTGATAGTAAAGCAGTACCAGGGAGGCTGTCTGCTCTGAAGGTGTACGGCAGCTGAGAAAGGCCGGTAGAAAAGACAGTGAAGCACAAAGTACTGTCGCAGGAGTTGAAGAGGGAGAATTGGTTGTCTAGTCCTTTGGTTTCCAAATTTAGACTACAGACAGGTGCTGGCCCAGGCTACAGCTAAGAACAGCCAAGGTAATACGACAGCCTACATCTAGCAGTCCCCTGGGTGCGGGGTGCTTTCCTGATTTCACCCATTGATCGTCCCTGTCATCAGTGAGGGAGGTTATTATCTCTGGTGATAAGGCTTCATTACATATTTTAAAAACACACTTCTTTAGTTCCTTTTCTACTGGAGAGGTATATTATTGTTTTAACTTTACGTTGGGAAAACTAGGCACGGAGAGGTAACATACCAACAGTCAAACCCCACAGAAGTGGGGGAGCTAGGATTCGCTGTCAGACCCCAATTCTGCCAGCTCAGTAGTGAGTCTAACAAAACGCTGCACTTGTCCACTGTAAAGGACAGCTTACAGGACTTATGTTGTGACATCATAGTAGACAAGAGTTTAGTTAGCATTTTTTTATTTAACAAAATAAAACTCCTTTTCTATTCCCTTTGTCTATAAGATCCAAGTTCTCTCTGAGAGCTGACGCAGCTGGCCCCAGCGGCTCATCTGCGAGGCTGAAAGCTGCCTTTCTCCTACATTTCAAATTGAAACCCGGAGCCTTTCATGCATTCCTGCTGTCAGAGCTGAAGGTAGACGGAGCAGCCACCACCCTGGTGTTCCATCCTTCACCCGGTGTACTTCTTTTCGCTCTAGGTTAGAGCCCCAGCTGATACAGCTACAAACAAAATACGACGAACTTAAGGAGAGAAAGTCATCCCTGAGGACGGCAGCAGATTTCCTATCTAATTTAAAACAGCTCTATCACGAGTACTCAGATCTTCAAGAGAAAGAACCAGACACAAAGGAAACGGTAACTTGGAGTTTTTTTACTTTCGACTCTGCCTCAGGAGGGGAGCTGCAGCAGTACAGGAAAACCCGGGCTCACTGAGTTCAATAAGGGAAGAGTAGGCTTTGCACAACCACATTTTTTATGTCTAGCTCATGTTCTTGGTACATGTATCTAAAAAGCCATTATCTATAAATGGCAAGAAAAAGCAATATTATTGGATTAATAAAAAAAGTAACTACAAAATTTATTTGAAAGTCACAGGTAGAGGAGAGACAGATCTTCCCTCTAGTGGTTCACGCCCCCAGACGGCTGCAACAGCCAGTGCTGGGCCAGGACCTTCACGTGGGTCTCCCACTGCTTTTCCCAGGCCATCAGCAGGGAGCAGCCGGGACATGAACTGGTGCTCATATGGGATGCTGTTAGGCCACAGCAGTGGCCCCCATTTCTGGACTTTTTAATATACACTTTAAGTTGTCCACCTAGTATAATTTTACATAAAATGTTACCAGATTTGTTTTCTAAATTCAGCTTTAAATTTTGACACTGATGCAGTTTTCCTGAGCCCAAAGTACCTAACTAGTCTAAAGCTTAAGTGGACTTGGTTATTAAATTTAGAAAAATAGCAACCACTTTCATTAAAACAAATTCAGCGACTGTACCTTTAGACCATACCACTCCCAGCTGTGTTCTCGGCCTCACCTCTTTTCCTAAACTAAACCTGTAGCACCAAGCAAGTTCTCCTCCCTCCACTCCCTGAGAGCAGGTGCTTAGTGTCTTAATTAGGCTCTTGAATTCTCTCAACATATGGTAAATTGTATGCCAGGAAAAAAATCCACTGTTTTCTAGGTAGTCAGAAAACTAAAGAGGAATTTAATCAATTTTGGGTTGGCTTACTAGTTTAAACTCATGAGTTGATTTTGTTCGACTTGCATAGTAATTTTGTCTTATTGGAAGGATCAGTTCCATGATTAAAGTTTTCTTAGAGTGGATTTAGAGTTTTTTTTCCCTGATGAGCTATTATAAGCTGGGTGTTCTCATCCTTTGGTTCTTCCAGTAAAAGTAAACCTGCCTAATGTTTTTTGTTGTGTGTTTTAAAATAGACATGAGATCAGACAGACTTGCTCAAACCAAGTCTTGACCTGCCCCAGGCACTCAGATGTACAGAGCCACTCCTTTGCAACGTTCTACGAATTCTATCATAAAAGTGAAAGGAAGAGGAGTTGACAAGTTAGATCTTTTCCATTGGTTTCAGATTGAACTATGTAAAGATAGGATTGTAAGTGTTTTTGATATTAGCTAATCTGAATTATTTTCTTTCAACAGTATGATTCGTCCAGCCTTCCAGCTCTGTTATTTAAAGCAAGAACCTTTTTGGGAGCTGAAAATCATTTGCAAAATATCAACCACCAATTAGAGAATCTCCTTGACCAGGACTGAGAAGACAGCCGTACTGAATGTGCCAACTTAGTCCCCTGCGGCCTCTGAAAACAAGTAGGGTCCAGTCCTCAGGATTTAGTACTGATTAATAGTTTTAGAGGCCATGATCCTTTTAGGATAATGTCTTGAGTAATTTAAAAATGTTGAAACCCTATCTGAATCAGCCCCAAACATGTATGTTTTAACCTGTAAAATTAAGACAATGTGAACATAGACTAAATACTACAGTTAATTTCCAATAAAATTTACTTACATTATTTTCCAAGTAACATTTGACAGACAATATAATTTTTTGTTACAAATCTCGCAGATTACAGCTGCTTATGTAATGTCCACAGTTGGCTACTCTTGTAATACTTCCATAATGAGGTCATCAGGAATCTCATCCACTCCACTACTGTGACGCAGAAGACTGCTCTCTGCAGCCTCTGCTAATTCAGCATCTTCAGTGGCTTCTAAAAAGCAAGCATCATCCAAGCCATTGTCCCAGCCAGGGTCAGAGGATGCACCAGGGGACGGTTTATGAGGGCTCGTGGTTTCATTGTTCCTAGTTTCGTCTGTTGTAAATTCTTCTTCCTTTAAAAAAAAATCTAGTTGTAATTCTACATAGACTGAATATATAATGAAATCACCACATATTAAGACCTTAAGACCAGTTCGACAGGAATGAGAATATTAACTGTTTCTGGAGTTGGCTCAGATACTCCTTAGACTCCCCATTTGAAACTGCCTGCAGTTCTGTGGCACAGATGTTTCAACATCCCCAGCAGGTGCTACAGCAAGGACAGACTTACCTGTTCAAGTGGCCTGTGTACCTGTTAAAGACAAACTGCCAAGGACTAATCACTAAGGCTTACATGAGATAATAGTGATGTTAAATTTCCTTAACTTCATGTACCATAGCCAAGTAACAATGTCCTTATTCCTCAGCTACATGCTTAAATTAGGTGTGGAGCCTCCGCCTGGGGCACCAGCATCCTGTAGGGGCACTGGTTCAAGTCCCAGCTGGGCCCTGCACCACGTGGGAGAATTTGGGGAGTGGATGGAAGACTTCAGTCTCTCAAATACATCTTAAAAAGGAAAGGCCCCACAGAGTATTATGTATACTTACTGGTTTAAAAATATGAGCCCAGATAAAAATGTTGTAATATTATGAGGAAGATTTTAAATTATAGATCTTTGAAAGAAATTTTGGTGGTATTATTAGATTGTCAAACCACGATTAAAACTGCTGGCATAGTGGGTGAAGCTGCTACCTGCAGTGCCAGTATCCCCTATGGACACCAGTTTGAGATCCAGCTCTCTGCTGTGGCCTGGGAAAGCAGTGGAAGATGGCCCAAGTGCTTGGGCCCCTGTACCCTCGTGGGAGACCCAGAAGAAGCTCCTGGCTTCGTATTGGCACAGTTCTGGCTGTTGTAGCCAGTTGGGGAGTGAACCAGCAGATGGAAGACCTCTCTCTGTGTAACTCTGACTTTCAAATAAATCTTTGGGGGAAAAAATGGCAGCAAAGGGTATATGTAATTTTTTTATTTGAAAGGGCAGAGCCACAAAGATCCCACATCCACTAGTTCACTCCCCCAAATAACCATAACAGCTAGAGCTAGGCCAAGAACCTGGAATGCAATCCAGGTCTCCCATGTGGGCTGCAGGAAGCAGAGGAGGCAGACAAGAACTGGGCACTCTGATATGTCTGCTGCAAGCACTGTGCCAGAAAGAAAGAAGGGTATTTTGGTTTATACAACCAGAAACCTCTTTAATGTCTAGGACTGGTTAAAGTGTACTAAATCTTATGCAGTAAAGAGTGAGGTATGTGTCATTAAATATATACTGAGGTAGGAAAATCACCAAGATGGATCTTCAAGTGAAAACAATGTGTTACAAACATTGTACTTAAAAAGCTTAGTGGAGGCCGGTGCCACGGCTCACTAGGCTAATCCTCTGCCTGTGGCGCTGGCACCCTGGGTTCTAGTCCTGGCTGCTCCTCTTCCAGCTCTCTGCTGTGGCCTGGGAAGGCAGTAGAGGATGGCCCAGGTGCTTGAGCCCCTGCACCCGCATGGGAGACTGGGAGGAAGCACCTGGCTTTGGCGCGGCGCAGCGTGCCGGCCATGGCAGCCGTTTGGGGGGTGAACCAACAGAAGAAAGACCTTTCTCTCTCTCCCTAACTCTGCCTGTCAAAAAAAAAGCTTAGTGACACTGCTCCTGGTTCATTTATACTATAATACCAAGACTTAGTAATGACAATGATACAAAACTGCACTTACCTCTTTGAAAAGAAACAAAAGACACACTTCAGCAGGTAATGGCAAACCTGAATCGGAAAGATAGTAAAACTATTTTTATATAAACATTAACTTTTACTTTATGGTAAATGTAAAAATTAATAACTCACAGTCAGTTTTGAAGTTTTCTGCTTTACATATAGGATCATGACATTTTTGATACCAAACTTCATTTTTCAGATCAACCAGAATCCTTTGTTTAAAAAAAGAAAAGTATTAATACCTAAGCTGTATAGAAAATTAAATCCAACTCAATGCTGTCTAAAAGAAACATGACTAAATCTTCAACTAAAAAGTAAAAAGGAAAGAAGATACACAACAAACAAAACCAGTTGCCTAAAATATCACACAAAATGGACTTCAGGAGGAAAACGCACACACTGACAGAAGATCTCCCCAAAAGATAGCTCTCTCCCTGTGTCCATCAAATTGCACAAAATGGAATTTGAGCATTGGTCTTTAAGAGGCGCATATTACTTACACATATACATACTATTACATGTAATATTTCACAGCTAAAAATAATTGGATATAATCTTATTTTTTTTGTAAATGTCCACGCACAGAAGACTAGAAAGATGCATCAGTGCTAACTAGTTTTCACTGGGTTATAGGACTGTGGGGATCTTTTTTGGTGACAGCTTGGTGTATTGAGCATATAATTCTAAGATTTATTTATTTTTAAAGAGAGGGAGGGAGAGAGGGAAACACACATGGAAGCAACAGAGATTTCTATCCACACTGGCTCTTTCCCAGTGTGGCTACAAACTGCCAAAGCCAGGAGCCTAGAACTCCACCCAGATCTCCCTCACGGGTGACAGACCCAAGCTCTTGGGCCATCTGCTGCTTTCCCAGGCGCTTTAGACGGACAGGAGAGCAGCCAGGACTTGAACTGGTGCTCTGGCATGGAACAGCAGCACTGCAAGCTGCAGCTTACTGTGCGAGGCCACAACAGTGGCCCAAGAATAGAGCTTTTCAAGATTGTTTTTAATTTAAGAATATCAACCATAGCACTGAATCATGCCACACATTTTCCAACACACACTTGGATCATCTCCCCCTTCTAGCACATGTGCTATGTAAGAGTATCAGCTTTGACATTAAATATGAAATAACATTTCCCATGTTGTAACTAGATTTCTGTTTTATCCCCCTTCTGACTATATCCCTTTATTATTTTAAATTATATTTCTAGTTTTACTTCATCTTTTTACTTCCTCTTGTTTTGCCAGGAGCATTTTAAAAAATTACCTAAAACAGGGCCTGGCATTTCTAACAAGCATCCAGTAGCTCAGTAATGTGTGATTTATCTATATGCAGTTAACACAGCCTTAACCTCCAGCTCTGTAGCACTGAGGAGTTGTCGTCTTGCCATAATCGGCCCAGTTTCAATCACTTCCACAGGTATCTAGAACACCCTTTTCATCACATCCACTCCCTGCCTGCTGCTTGCTTTTTAGTCAATCTACTTCAGTCTTCAAGATTATAGACTATGCCATTTTATCAAAGGACAAATAAAGCTGCCATATGTTAGAAGCAATGTAATAAGATCTCTGAATATTATAAACCCCAACAAATGTAATAATCTAATTAGTTTAACTTGTTACATTTTTATATTGTCAGCTTTATTTCAAAGTTGTAAACATGGGGCCAGTGCTGTGGCTTAGTAGGCTAAGCTTCCACCTGCAGCATCAGCATCCCAAATGGGCACCAGTTGTGTCCTGGCTACTTCTCTTCCGATCCAGCTCCCTGCTTATGGCCTGGGAAAGCAGTGGACCCCTGCTTCTACGTACGAGACTCAGAAGAAGCTTCTGGCTCCAGGCTCCTCATCACCTCTGTTCCTGCCATTGCAGCCTTTTGGGGAGTGAACCAGTGGATGGAAGACCTCTGTCTCTCCATCTCTCTAACTCTGCCTCTCAAATAAACTTAAAAACAATCTTTAAAAAAAAAAGTTATAAACATTCAGAATACATCTCAGCATTAATAAACAAGATTACTTACATGATGTTATTACTCTTGTGGGCTCTTCCAATGTTCTCACACCAGCGATATTTGAAAATATCATAAACCAACAACTGTTCTGGGAAAAAGTAGCTCCAACGCCTAATTCCTAAAATATAAAGACTGTTTCTAAAGATATCATGACTCGATCCTATAACAGTTAATAAAAAATAAGATGAGTTGTACCTCCTTTAATGTCATTTTTAGTCACCAAGGAAAGAACAAACTGATCGACTTCAGGGTAGGGTGAACACTGAAAACCTTCGATGGTTCCTACTGCAACAGAGAAGAATTATTTAAAAATTGTAACATCTGAAAGTTGAGAACTTAAATTTTAAGTTGCTGTTTAGAACAGTTACGGGTTTTGCAACCCTTCCAGTTTGGGTGGGTGTTTTTTTGGGCGGGGGGGTGGTTTGGCAATTTGCAGTTAGCTCATAGGTTCTTTTATCCTACAGGGAAGTAGATAACATTGATAAGGCCACTCTGTGGTCATGAGGACTCACGACTAAAACGAGAGCACTCTGTAATCATGTCTGAACAGTCAGAACATGAGCATTTTGCAAACCACAAAAATCACCAACTGGCCCCCTACTCTGGCCAACTGCTGTGGCCGTACCACCATAGCTTCAGTTTCCCTCTAGCCCGCCTGCATTCTAGATAACGGCTACAGAGCTACCCAGAACTGCCCCTGACAACACCCAACTCAGAACAAGCCCAGCCTTCCTACAAAGCAGCCTCCCACTGTTTCCAGGACTAACTGACTCAACTTGCTTGCTATGGGTGTGTTCCCTGTGGTCTTTAGGGGGCACTAACAGTTCAATTATATTTGTACCTAAAACTCTATTGTAATGTAGAATGATGCATTTAAAACTTCATGGAGGGGTTAATGTTGTAGCTCAGTGGGCTAAGCTGCTACTGTCAACACTGGAATCCTGTATCAGAGTGCTGATGTGAGTCTGGGCTGCTTTGCCTCCAATCCAGCTTCCTGC